CCTGTAGATCGTTCATGTAGATGGTCGCATCGTTACTGCTGCTTCTACATCTGTATTCATTATGACCCTGAAGACCGTCAATGCCAGTGCCGTTCAAAACTATGCCAACTAAATAAAGGTTTCTGCAACCTGAGGTGGTGTGAAGAGATTTACTGTGAACGGATACGTGTTTCCAGAGAGCCGAGTTTTCAGCACGATCAGGGTTGACGCGTCGACGACAGCAGCTGTTGTTTACCGCTTTCCAACTAAGCAAATATTTTCGCAACGTTGACAACAACATTTTCAAAATTAATCATCGTGGCCATGTAATAACGAAATGAAATTAATCTGATTTATGGACTGAAAATATTTCACCTTTTGTGTGACATTTCGAGCTGATGGGTTTTTCAGCGCCCTCCATTCACATACGCAAGGGCCGATCATAAATGACGCTTTCGCCGAAACGTATTAAATCCCACGGTTAATGACAAAAGGCAAAAACTCACAGAGGAAGTTCCAGTGATCGAAAAGGCGGCATTAATTTCCTTGAAACTAGATGCTTTTCACTGGTGATATACTTCTTGCGTGCAGCTGGCAACAATTACATCTTCTTCACAGTTTTAGAATAGTATGTGGAGGCTCAGACCATGACTGAGACATTTTCACTGCAACAGAGGGTAGTAAGGTAAGTCAACTGTCATACGTGACCCTGAACTTCTTAGGCTCTAGTTCTAGATGCGGCTTTGTATGACATATATCTGATACTACATAACCCATGTTTCATTGGCTGTTTTACGCTGCGAGTTTTGCGGTTTTGATCCCCGAATTAACGATGGTATTAAATTATGTTGTTCATGACTTTGCCCAAAACCCTTAATGCAAATTTATCTAAATTATCATAATGGTACTCGAATGGGGTAGCGAAATAATGAGAAAGTTAGTGAATACAAATTTAATACTGAAGCTGATGATGGGAAATGGTCTTACATCGGTGCCATAAAAGCATGTTCACGGCGAACGTTAATCAGCTCCCGTGGAGCTAATCTTCAGAAGAATGTGATTGATCGATATCCAATGCTAGAATATTGTCATTATTGTAGTCATCATCTAAACCTAAGCAATAGACGAAATAAACTGATGATGGCTTGAAATTTCAAGTCGTTTCTCAGACTCAAGCGCTGTTTTCCTGACCCAGCAAAGTCATATTCCTCGTCTTAGTAAAGCTAATCATCTCAAGATTTGCATTGCTCATCAAGGCGTGTGTGGTAAGTGAACGATTCCCATGAATGTAGGCCATTCAAATAGTTTCCTGCTCTATTAGCATCAATCTCCTCTAGAGGTGGGGGCCTGTAAAAGGTGCAGGGTCCCCTCCGGTAGATTGAGAGCTGATTCAGATAGTGGTGTTGCCGCCATTTGCCATTGATATCTGTCCGTGACCGAAACCTCAAAAGGTGCTCGACTTTCATGAATTCGTTTGGCTGGATGATGGTTAAGGAGACATTGGCAATAGCTCAAGATGCGAACTCTTCTCCTCAAGAATGGAAAAGATTGGATGAAAGAAGATTTGCCTTCGCTGGGTGCCTACAACGAGGACAAGTCTGATGAAGGATGAAGCAGCATAACCAGAAATCACAATGATTTTATTAGCAGCAAAATACGGAGTCCAAAATGGGATTCAACAATTTTTGGAGATGCTCAGCTGCCAGGGACCGTAGTTGAAC